ACAAACTCCAAATCAACTGACTGGAATTGATTTGCAGCTTGTCGATTTTTCTAGGGCTTTTGAGCTTGTCGCAGTGATTTGCAGGTTGCAGCTTTGCAAGTTGCAACGAGCCAACGACCTGGAAGGCTGGAACCGATTTGGCGATTTGCAGGCTTGTCACAGAGTCGCAGACCGTAGGTAATCCTCTTCGGCGTCTTCGTTTGACGCACACTCGCACTGCTCAGTGCTCACTTGCTCTCTGTTTGTCTGTGAGACTGTGACTTTTCTTGTTCTCAGTCTTCTCACTTTTCAAACCAGTTTGGCAGTTCAAGACTACATTTATGTTCTTCAAATCCTTAGATGGAATCAGAACAGGGGTTATGCTTGCCACACCTTGATTGACACCAAACAGAATGGTAGTATCGATCACTTAGTCCTCAAGGGCTACCACCTCCATATTTTCCTCCAAGCTATCAGCCACAGAAGAGTTTGTCGAATCTTCTTCCTCTTCATCTGAAGTCTCACAATTGATCCATCCATCATCTTCAACATCCAAATCTTCCCTACACACCCTAGAGTACCTTGAATTAGGGCGATCTGTACTCTTCCTACCCATCTCCTGTTCTTTGTAAGGGGGTCTTGGGATCCACTGCATATTTTCCTTCTTCGCCTTCTTCGAAGTGGAAAACAGATTGTGGAGGAGCCAAGAAGGGTCTTGGGATCCACTTCCAATTCCAACTTGTGCGACTTCACAGAGCACACTACTGTGAGATTTGATCTCTATTCTGCCTCTGCCCCTTGACTTGATTGCTCTCCACTGTTAATCATATTAGTTGCCATCTCTCCCCTCTCATCTTTCTCCAGTACAGTCTTCTGTAGAGCATTCTCAGCTTTCTCCATCAACACAAGGTATTCCTGTAACTTCTCTGCAAAACCTTTCCACCCTGTCTTTCTATTTCCTTCAGGGATAGACACCATCTTCCTATTACCTTCCCCAAAGCATTCTGTTATCACTATATACCAACCCTTCCTGTTGTTTTTCACTTCTGCTATGAAATTCTTCCTCTCCATATTCAGCTGCCCCTTCCATCTGTTATCTTTTTTGTGTAGACTGCTCCATCCACAAATCCTTTCACCCAAACCACTGCATCTCTGAAGAGGAAAATGGTTGTTTTCTTCTCTTCCCTGATTTTCAAACAAACTTGACCATTGTTTCTGCAATCTTTGAACACAAATTTCTTTTCTTCGAACTCCATCTTGCTGCAAGCTTGAACTCCCCTTGTAGGTGGGAACCTTATCGAAAACCCATCACTACTTTTGAATCTCCTTCCACCACAATGTTCGTGTACTTAAGATTCCAACCAAATGTTAATCCATGTAATACCACCAAGATTTCTGCCCTTGTTGAGTTCCCATAACCCATAGGACCTGTGTGAAGAACAATTATATGTCCATGGGAGCTTCTAAAGACTCCTCCAATCTCCAAATTTCCAGGGTGACCCAAGCTGCATTTCATCAAAATTCATCTTGACAAGAGGATATATAGGTTGGTTGCTCTTGCTCTCATGGTTAGGATTTTGCAATGTTCTACCAATTCATTATGATATCTATCATCTGTGGTGAAGCATTCAAACTTGGGCAAAGTTTTCACTTTTCACTCTTCACCCAATGCTTCCCTTGTATATGCTGATAAAAAAAAAAAAACAATGCTTCCCTTGTATGGCTCCTATCTTTCAATGTTCTTGCCATTTCTTTCCTCCTAAACTGTTCATAGGAAGTCTTAAATAGGCTACCCACCTTACTTGGGGGATTTCACCTGTATTCAAAGAAGTCAAAGAAGAATGCCCAAATGCAAGCTACAAATGTGCAGGTGATTAATAAATGCAAGGTAGACTCGCAACTTGCTCTGCATAAAACACACATGTTAGGACAGATGCAACAAAAAGGAGGCCTTTTATTTTGAAGATGTTCAGTTCACATTTATTGATTTCTTATGAGCAATCTCCCAGCAGAAAGCCCAGATTTTAGGTGGGGCAGGACCACACTAAACAGCCATGGAAGGAAAATCCAATTTAGAAGGAGTTGAGGAAATAAAGAACTTCAATATAGATGAAAAAGAAAGAAAATACAGCCGAACCCTTTCAACCATTGTTTTCATTTTTAATTGTGAGGGAAGATGAAAGGCTATGTGATTTTTTTTTCTTTCCCACTGAGTGCAAAGTTATGGCCAAGGTTCAAAAAATTGATACAATATTCCCTGTATCAGGCATGTCATAATGTATCTTTGGCTCTCTGAAATGCTAACTACTAGTAATTTGTGAGTTTTTTGGTTTGTCTTATATAATTTTATATGATATGACAACACATCTGACAAAAGAATAGACAAAAAGTTAAAGTTTTGAATATGCAAAATTTGCATATTAGAGTATCGATACTTTGAACCATGGTTATGGTCTCCCGAAGTTTGCATATATAACATATAATTTATTTTTAGGTTTAATTTTTTAATTGCACCTATATGTACATAATTATATATGCAGAAAATAATATGATAGGACACAGGTTAGCCCACAACCCTGGCCCATGATGGTCACAAACATGAAGCAGCCCACGAAACCTCCTGTTCGATTTGTCTACACCAGGAAACTACATGAAGGTTGCTAGAGATTGTGAGGTTTCCCATGTGCATGAGGTTTGTAATACGGCCATCACTATATGAGGCCTCAGTAGTTAGAATCATAGAAAGAATATTTCCTTTTCTTCCCCAATCCCCTTTTTCTTTTCAGGAGGGCAAGCTCCCTCGAAGCAGCTCCACCATTACGAGTTGAACCTTATCATAATATTTCATATCATAAATATATAATTTTATGGATGCCCTCACATACGATGATGATGGGGCCGGCTACATTAATTATGTTTCGCCAATTCATTCTATTTAAAGACATATCCATTGTTAAATTATTAGTACTTAAATCATTTCTAACTACTGAGCCCAGATTTCCTACTCACTTTTCCTACCCACTCTCTACCCACCGTAAATTGTAGCGACATATCTCTCAATTCATAATAGAGATGTGTGGCTCCAATTCACGGCGAGTAGAGAGTGGGTAGGAAAAGTGAGTAGGAAATCCCTAGTGCTTACTACTACCCATGTCCTTTTTAGTCTACCCTGAGCTCTTCTAGCCCCTTCAATGGGTAATAAAGCAGTTCATCTAACTGGCACAGTTGGTGGTCTTCTATGCACGTGCCCAAACCATCTTAGTCTACTCTTCTCATTTTATCACCTATTTGAGCCACTACTCCTAGGTTCCTATGGATAACTTCATTCCTAATCCTATCCTTTCTAGTTTTTCCACTCATCCATTTTAGCATTCACATTTCTGCCAAATACATGGATATAGGTGTTATTTAAAAAAATTAAACGTAAAAAATGTAAAAACATATTTTGTAATTTGTAACCTATTATCCACTGACCGGGTCAAGTGGGCCAACAGTTTAACCATCCAGGTTGACAGGTTGCTGACCAAGTCAATGGATTTTAAAGCAAGAGCAGGTTTAGGGTTAACCCAAATTGAAGTTGCGACTGGATGATGGGTTCAACAGTCTGACCGGCCGGGTTAATGATGGGTCGAAAACACTGCATCACCCAAGCCTTATCCCAACTATATGGGGTCATCTACATGAAACCTGTTTTTCCATTCCATTCTGTTTAATGTCATATCCATTGTTAAATTATTAGTGATTAAATCATTTCTTACTATTTCAAATCATTTCCTTTTTGCTCCATCTCCTAGACCTTCTAGCCCTTTCAACTTGCAACAGATAACTTCTTTACAAACATGCCATGCGGATGTGGCTTCAAAAACTCCGAAAACCTATAAAACCTTCCCAATAAAAGAAATTTTTTTCATATTTTTAAGAGCATCATTTGTTGCAGAAGTTACCAACTTGTCAAAAACATATCATCCTTTTTTTTATCAATAATCAAAAACATATCATCTCTAAACCTGGGGATGTAAAAATTTCATCTTTGCATGGGTACTAATTGTTTAACAACTCTTTTGTTACAAGAGTTGTTTTTTATGAAAAGCTCTTGTTCCCTGCCTTGAATAGAGTTACATCTTAGTGCTTATTACTGCAGTTTATCTTGGGCTAACATTCTCATAACCTCCCAAATCCTAATTATCAGCATAATTACAGTTTTCACTTCATAAGAAACTAGCGCCTATTATTAGCAAATGTCAATCGATGTTTCTCACTTGGTAGATGATGAATCTCCTGGTTGATCCCAGAAGATGCCAACTTTAAGAGATTAAAGATGTCTGTGAAAGTGGTGACTTGAAAACTACTGGTTCCATCTCTTATCGGAGCTACTTCATTAGATGTTTAAGTGGTCTACATTTTCATTGAAATCAACATTTTAAACATTGATTTTCAGGGAACAGCCATTGGCATAAAACTATGACTTTACCATGGGTAGCCTCCACAATTTGAATGTATGACCTGATATGTAGAGGATCAACCGGCTTGAAATGCAATCTCAGTACTTAAATATATTCTAAATATTCATTGTGGTAGATTGGGTTCTTTGTCATTATGGATTTATAGATATCAAGAAAAGAGATTTAGATTTTAGATTATGGCATAAGGGAAGTGGAAGAATATTGTTTGTTGTTTATTTTGGTTTCTACTTTTGATGGAAATTGTACTCTCTCTCTCTTTGGTATTTGGCGTTATGCACCAGTAATAACTTTCCCCTGACCCCTTTTCCCCAAAGTGCTAATTGCGGGATTTGATTCCGTGTCAACACTGGAACAAACCAGTTAACACACCAACGATCCAGCCCTCGGTTGGTGATGGAAATTGTACTTTGAGGTTTGGTAAAACATCATCAATCATAAAATCATTTTATTTTATGAAAATTTCTTTTATTTTGCTAAAAAAATTTGATGTTCCAACTCATGTTATGTACTTCAGTAAACCATGACATTTACCTCGAACTCGTTATCTTCTTATTACAGGATTTTGAGCTCAATATTTATAATCCTAGAGGATCATCAACAAGCAAGAAAGTAACTTGCAACAATAATTTATGTGCACACCGTAATCGTTGCCTTGGAACATTCAGCAGTTGCCCTTACATGGTTTCATATGTTTCTGCTGACACATCAACTTCTGGTGTTCTAGTGGAAGATGTCTTGCACCTAATAACAGATGATAGTCGTCCACAGGATGTTGATGCAATTATCACATTTGGGTTAGTTTTTTTCTTATTTAATTCATCTAGTTTGGATGTTTGCTGAGAGAAGAAAGGCCATTAGCATCAAACGCAAATATCCCATACAGGTGGAGCTGTTGGCCTTGCTGGCTCTCTTGCCAGAGAAGGGGTTTCTACAGGGCAACTGTATGGGGGATTCTAGGGCCTGGGGCCAAGTTGTGATGTTCTCAGACACTTGACCTCATAGTTTTGGTGCATAAGCTGGGATTGGACATTTGACCTGGATAGGTTGCTAACTTGCTATCTCTCCAATAAATTAAGCTTTTTCATGCTCCTGTCCTGGGATTGGTCTATGTTGCTCCCCAGTATATCTCACTTCTATAACAGTTAAGCCTGATAATTTCACTTCGTCATGCAGTTGTGGACAGGTGCAGACTGGTTCATTTCTAGATGTTGCAGCTCCCAATGGTTTATTTGGTCTTGGTATGGAAAAGGTATCTGTTCCTAGCATTTTATCCAAGGAGGGACTGACAGCAGACTCCTTTTCTATGTGTTTTGGAAGTGATGGAATTGGAAGGATAAGCTTTGGAGACAAAGGCAGCTCAGACCAAGAAGAAACACCATTTAATATTGACCAACTACAGTGAGTGTTCATCTATATTCTCAGTCAAGAATGATAGAAGTTAACAGGAAAACCAAATGCTTATCATAAAATATTCTGTGGCAGTCCAATGTATAATATCAGCATAACTCAAATGCGTGTTGGGACAAGCATCATTGATACAAATCTTAGTGCACTTTTTGATTCTGGTACTTCCTTCACCTACCTTGTTGATCCTGCATATACACGCCTTACAGAGAGTGTAAGTATTTAGATCCATGAAAGTTAACCATGTCTAGTGATTCTTGGTCTAAATTGCTAAATGCACATTTATGTCTTATGTGCAGTTCAATTTACAGGCACAAGATAGACGGCGTCCACCTGATCCAAGGATCCCTTTTGAATATTGTTACAATATGCGGTCATTTATCTCCTAACTCATTTCTCTATATTGATTTGTTAATATTTCTCTATGGAGATTTTGAAATAAAAGCCTAACCATTTCTTTATTGTAAGCCTAACTTGGTTTCTTGATAATATGCAGGCCTGGTGCCAATAGTAGTTTGATACCCAGCATGAGTCTAACCATGAGAGGTGGAAGTCAGTTTCCTGTTTATGATCCAATAATTGTAATCTCCACCCAGGTAAGATGCTGCTTTGGAAAAAGGGGGAGGAATGGTATATCCTGAAACTTATCTGAACTTATTTGTACCTCAAAATGTGCAGGCTGAGCTTGTATATTGTTTGGCTGTTGTCAAGAGTGGAGAATTGAGTATAATTGGGCGTAAGTGTATTTTTGTTTCAAGCAATTTGTTTTCTTCAGTATCTGTTTAACAACAATTGACTGTAGAAGACAGGTTAAAGAGAGAAGTTATGTTCATATAGCACACAAATGGTAGTCAAATACACATGCACATTAACCTCATCTCAAGTCTTTTACAAACGTTTGTTCATTTATTATCCCCAGCCTGTGCTAGGTACTTTGAGAACATGTTCAACCAGGAGATTCTATTTAAATTTATCAACTAGTGTACCTCAAATTCATGTCTTGAACCTTTACTCTCCAAGAAACTAACATGATGGTTTGGTCAAATTGACAAATATAACTAGGTGCACTCCCAGACTGCTAGATGCCCATGAGTTTGATATCTAAGTTCAATCTATGTTATAGTTTCTTATATAGAAAAGCTTTGCTTCTCAAATGAGAAATGTAATTATATCCATAATTCTGCATTCACTGATGCTAAACAATTTGCAGAAATGACATCAATAAGCAAAAAAATACTTGTAACAATCTGCCATGGGTCAAAGTAATATGATGCTTAATCTCTAATGGACTAAAAATGTGCCTGTGTAAGAGGTTGTTGAAATCCAGTGTCAACATCAATGCAGAGAACTTTATGACTGGCTACCGGATTGTATTTGATCGAGAGAAACTTGTGTTGGGCTGGAAGAAGTTTGACTGTAAGTGTTATTTCACCTTTTATTTATTTTGTTTTTTCATTCATATCTACTGATCCTTCCATGACTTGCTCCTTCAGGTTATGATACCGAGGATTCCAATACGTTCCCACTAAAACCACATAACTCCACCGGTGTGCCTCCTGCTGTTGCTGTCGGACCACATAGTTATACTCCAGAAGCAACAAAACAGACAAGGAGGAACAGTTCTGAGATTGCAGCAGGACCACCTCATCCCAGTCATGCTACCCACCGTCATGTGTTTTGTCTCCAATACACCATCGTCAAACTGTTTCTTATTCTTTTAGCCATTCTTTGACCATTCTTTTCCTGCATTTCATGTGGCTTGCTTCATGCAGAAAATATTGGTGACCCCTGTGTCATATGTTAACCATGACCATTGCCGGTTTACACTTAGACACTGAATAGGATGCAATTTTGGGAGCCCTCTTTTCTTTTCCCCTTTGTTGTAAATATGATTTAAACAGAGGCTAGTACAACACTTTTGTATCATCAATAATAGGAAATTACTTAATTTTCAGTTCAGACTAGCTGTGTAGATACATATGATTTTATGTGCTATGACACCTTTGAAAGTGTTCGATTATGATCACTCCGAATCTGCTATCCACAAATTGTTCCCACATCTCTATCCACCAAACACCTGCGAACATCTCCCATGAATGACAAGGGAGATATTTCCATTTGCAATATGTGCATTAAGCGCCCCAGATGGAGCCTTGGATTTGTTTAACAAGGATTATTTGCTTAATTCCCTCGCGCTTATGCCAGGTCAGTGCTCACGCAAGGTTTTTAAAACTGGATCGGGCAGGGAACCATTCTAGGGACTGATTCCTGGGTCAAATGACCCGACTGATTCGAACGGATGGCCCATTTTAACAAAAAATTAAAAAAAAAAAACAAACAAAAAATGGCTAAAACCATTGTATGGGTGATGATTTGATAGTTTGATCACCCGGATCAGCAGTTCACTGACCAAATCAATAGTTTTGATCAAAAAGTAGTTTTGGGGTGAAAAAGAACCGGTCAGGTGATCGATTCTCAATTTTTTTGGTCTGACCATCCGATTTTGAAAACACTGTTGCCACGATCATCTCGATCCACAAGTTGTTGATGCTTCTTCCCTCGTAGGTTGCATGGAATCCAATATTAATCAGTCAATACTGTTTTGCGGTTAAAATGACAATGTGGTGAAAGGGATGAAGTGGTAGCGGTCTTCATTGGCTACCAGAAATTGTGGAGAAAACATAACCTGCAGCGGCTACATCACACCACAGAACACAAAAATCAAACTGATGCGATGTATTGAATTAATTGCAAAGGATAGTATGTTCATTTTTCACGGGGATCATTGAATTGTAATGGGAGCCCAGAATTACGGAGAAATTAAGATAGATGGGCAAGTGGAGGGAGAAAAGAAGAGCCCAGATCTATCCTGCACCTGGATTGGTGTGGGCAGGGGTCCTCTTTTGATCAGAATCGAACACGGCACCCTGCTAACATGTGTGGAGGACTCCAAATAAATAGAAATACCGAATATAGGGAGTAGAGCTGTTCATAAGAAGACCCAATCCAACCAAATCGACTAACTTGGACTGACCCAACCCGAGTCGGCCAGGTTTTCTTCAGCATCGGTCAGTTTTGGGATGTAAAAAATCATAAACCGATGGTTCAGGTCGGTTTCGGTTTTCATGTTTGTAAATCAAAACTGACCCAAACCGAACCGACTTAGTAGTTAGTTCCTAGTTAGTAGTTACAACCTACTTAGTTCCCACTTAACTAAGTTGTCTCTATCCTAGTTACAACCTAACTTAATTTCCAGTCTTCTAGTTAGGAATGACATTAATGGCAAGTATTGTAAGACAATTAGTCAAAGAATTTTTTTGGAAAAGTTTAAAGAAAAGAATCAAAGGATCCTAGTTTCTATGGTCTTTTTACACCAAATAGGCAACCAATTACAATTAGAATTAGGTGTCCTTTTTTACTTAGATTAGAAGGTTTCTTGAAATATACAAATTTAAGTCTTCTTTCTCTAATACAGTTTGACTTTCTATTTTCTTGATACATAAACTTAATTTTTTATGTGCTTCACAAAGTTATTGGCCCGTTTTCTCTTAATTTATGTGATTTCCTTGCTAGCTACTTCTCTGACACCCAATCTACCAATTTATTACCATGGTTGAACTTAGAGCCGAAACCGACCCAAACCGAACCAACCCAATTCAAACCGACCAGTCAGTTTTGCTTAACACAGGGTCAGTTTTGATTTCAATTTCAGGTAACCCGATCAAGTTGGGTCAGTTGGAAAAATCTCAATAAACCGACCCAACCTGACCCATGAACAACCCTAATAGGGAGGGAACTCCACAAAATCCTAGAGTTATCTGCCATTAACAATTGCAGACCTTTTTCTTCAAGCTAGCCATTTGCCAGCAGTCATATTCCTTCAATCTTCAGGGAGGAACTCTTGGATATACAGACTTCAATCTTGGGCAAACTGTATTTTATGGTGGATACGAAAATTAAAAAAAAAAATGAAAATGATAGACAAATATGAAGTAATAATTTGAATAAGAAATATATCCAAAGTTCTCAGACTTGGGTATTCGCTCTGTAATGCAAACCGAGTTTTGATGTCCTTATCATCATTTTTCCCACTACCATACATGGTTAGAGCAGCTCTTTCATAGGCATCATTCAGGTAACTTGTGTAAACAAACTTTTTTTCTCTTTTCATAGGTTATTAGAATTTTCTGTTTGCTTTTGTATTTTTTCTTAATTTTCTTTTTTTTTCTCATTTCTAATATAATTTGTTCATCTTTTTTCTCAAAGATTTTCAATCTATTCTTATAATTTCCTCTTTGTCTCTTAATCTCTTATTTCCTTATTGGATATATTTCTTATTAAAAATTATTAGGGAAAATTCTCGATTAGTACCTTGTACTTTGGGCTTAGCATCATTTTGGTCCCCAAACTTTAAAATACAACAATTCAGTACCCGAACTTTCAAAACGTGACAATCCAGTACCTGTCGTTAATCAAATGTTAACCTACCGTTAGGTGACATTTGAAAAAGATACAAATTCCCTTCAAGTGTCATTTAATTTTCTTTATCAACCACCTAAACGTTGAAAAAAAATTAACAGTCCCAAATCCTTGTCGGTTCCATTCAAGAAAGTTGGGGTCACGTTTGTGTGGGCATTCTAACATGACCCCAACTTTCTTTAATGGAATAGGCAAGGATTTGGGATTATCATTTTTTTTTGTCAATACTTGGATGGTTGATAAAGAAAATTAGATGATATTCGAAGATCATTTGTGTCTTTTTCAAATGCCACTTAACTAATGATTAATAGCTAGTTAATGGCAGGTACTGGATTGTCATGTTTTGAAAGTTCGGGTATTGAATTGTCGCATTTTAAAGTTTGGGGACCAAAGTGGCACTAGTCCCAAAGTATAGGGTACTAATCGGGAATTTTCCAAAATTATTATTTCATTTTTGTCTATCATTTTCATTGCAAAATACAAAATTTACTAATTTAATAATACTCATTTGGAGTTAAAGGATGTAGAACTGAAAAAAGAGTTTGGGTTTTGAAATGAAAAATATGTATTTTTCGTTCTTTGTTCAAACATAATATTTAGGAATGGAAGTTGAAGAAGGGTTTCATTTTCTAGTTTTCTATTCTACAAATGGTTTTTTTTTCCATTTTTTCCAGGAATGGAAGTTGAAGGAGGGTTTCTTTTTTCTGGTTTTCACTGCTACAAATGTTTTTTTTTCATTTTTTCGCTCGAACATAATGTATAGGAATGGAAGTTGAAAAGGGTTTCGTTCTTTGGTCTTCTATGCTACAAATGGGTTTTCTTTTTTCTTGGGCATCTATGTAAGCATGTCTCTCCTTTGAGAGAAGCTATTTATCTACCTTCTCTATTTTTTGCATTTTTTCTTATTTTATTTTGTTTTAAAAATATAAAATAGTAATCATTGCTTATCTTGATTAGATTAATAAAGATGCACACTATTAGAGAGACTTTTGGGTTTTCCAAGGCCTCTTATTTTAATGCATGTTATTATTACATTTAAAAAAAACATTTAAGAGAGAGAAAGACCTTTGGGTTTTCAAGGCCTCTTATTTTAATGCATGTTATTATTGCATTTAAAAAAGATATTTAAGAGAGAGACCTTTGGGTTTTCCAGGGCCTCTTATTTTAATGCATTTTATTGTTACATTTAAGAGAGTGAGAGAGAGAGAATAATAATAATATAAATCAAGGTTTTAAAAATCAAACTGGACAACAAATCGAACAGAGATTTGGTTCCCAAGTCGAACAGATGGCCCGTTCTGACAAAAAAATAAAAAAGTGGGCAAAACCGTTGGACAATTCAAACGGTTTAACCACCCAGGTCAGCGGTTTGTTGACCAAATCAACTTTTAATAATTTTTGGTATTTTTTTAATAATAAAATACTAATAATTGTACTTTTTAATTAATTTTAGTTAATACCCTTATTAATATAAAATATTTGTTTTTTTCAATATTTTTAATTATTTGTAGTATTTTAATTATGTTTAGGTTTTTTAGAATTTTAATTAATTGGCCATGCACGACCTGATTTACATGTTCACTTGAACTTGCCCAATACCGGGGATGGGGCAGGGAAATTTGAGGATTTCCCATCTTTCATGAGGAGTGGGGGGTGCTTGAACTTGCCTGGAATTGAGGAGTGGTTGCCTTGCCTTGAACCCACTTGACACTGGGGACGGGGAGGGGATGAGGTAGAGTGTCTTGACTATGTAGGAGGGACAAGGATGGAGTGCCCCACCCTGAACCCACTCTGTTGTCATTCCTATATAATTGTTAATTAATAGTGAAATTAATAAAAATATTAGCTTTTATAATTATTTTTACTTATTTAATGTTAATCAAAATTTCATTTAAAAATAATAACAATTATTAAAATTACTATAAATTATTAATAAAACTAAATTTATTAAAAATATTTGTTCATATTAAATTAACAATAATTATTTTCTACAAATCAACATTAAATGAAAATACAATTATAAAAATTTTAGATATTAACAATAAATTTGAATACTTTTAGTTAATTAACAATAAATTCTGATTATTAATTTAATATTAATTAATAATAAATAAAATTATTAAATCTTTCAAATTTTCCCTGCATCACACGGGTCTCTGTTAGTTTCTTATTTATTTTTTATCTTTTTAATTTTAAAATATGAACACTGAGCCATTTATTTATCTTGTGTACATTACTGAGACTCTAATTCACTGCTGACTTGTTGGCAAATGAATGAAAGTGCACATGGGCGTGCACAAAAACGAATGTAGGAGTTCCCAACTCCGAAAGAAAAGAAGATTATCTGTCTTCCTGTAGGTGAAACGTCACAATCCATAAAGGTTTTATGGCAGATTTGATCGTTCATGAAACGGGAAAAGCCTTTGGATTGACCGACTTATTTGAACTTAAAAAAGAAAATTACAATAGAAAAAGGGAAA